AATAGTGAGCTATTCGAAAGTGCTCGAGTTTTGGGTCTTGTTTGAAAACCATTCAAGTTTAATCAATGTTGAAATCCGACCTTTACACTGGATAGGGATTTTTTGCACAGGAATTCAACACTGAATTTAGTTCACTTGGACTACATAATCATGGTAAAATGGGAAGCTTAAAACTGATTCTTGCTAAATATTGTACTAAAATATTTTAGTTGACACAAACTGAAATACAAAATTTCGACTGTTTTGGTCTCATGCTTGTATTGCATTAGTTGTATTAAATTCTTAGACAAGAGGGTGGACCAATGTCCATCCACAATTTTTGGGAAATGCAACTTTTCATAATTTTATTCGTACTTCTCTTGAATTGTAGTCTTAGAAAGGTTTGAACTTTGCTATTTTTATCTATGTTGGGTAATCAGAAAAAGTCCCCCTCATTATTTTTTGTATAAGTCTCACTCTGATTAAAATTACAAATTACACACCAACCAATTCCTCTTATTTGGAAAGTTTGGCAAAGAAAAATAAACACAAATGTGCATACTTACAAAATATATTTATAACAAAAAATAAAACTATGACTGGTGATGTACTCACCTCAATATCCAAGGGGTTGACTTGTTTCTCTGACATTACACAAGCACCTTGTCCACTAACCTAGAATTAACATACCAGTCACTTAGTATTACTGATACTAACATTAATTAGCTAAATAATTAAACATTCACATTCTCCAAATACTAAAAATAAAACTGTTTCAAAACCGACTCACTCGAACCCACTACCTAACTCACAATTAAAGGTAACCAGTACAAGATCAACCACAATTATGTAAAACATGGTCCAGTTAAATACTAGCATAAACTGAAATATGACGAACTTTACATCCAATCTTACTGTTGAGTTTATGTTGCACACAGAATAATATACCTTAAAATGATTGATAAAAGCTACATATGTACAAGAACATCTAAGATTATGCCCCCCCCCCCATGAAAACAATAATTTTAATTTGCCTAGCAACTCCCACCAAGATAAACATTCACAAAAATACTTATTAAAAGTATCAACATCCAAATATGAACCATAAATAATGTAAATCCCCTATATTGTAGTGGGTCTGCCTCCTTAAACCAATGCCAGAGAAGATCCCCAAGATTGCCTCTCTTTTTTGTCACCCCAAGTTTTAAGGTCTTGAGCCACCCACCCCTGTTGGTTATACCATATTACATTATCATACATTAATAGTTTTGTTGAGTTTACTTACTGATTATAAGTATTGTTTTGTTACAAGCTACAACTTTTACACTTGGGAAGATATACTTGTCTACTTGAGAATGATCGCACCAGTGATCGAAACGTCGTACCTGTTATAAACAATATTCTTCCTTACTGTAAAAGCTCTAACTTGTAATAAAATAATTATCTTATATTGTTGTTTTGATGTACATTTGGAAGCTTGAGATGAAAATGTTTCTTACTGTCTTATTGTTTTACATAAGTTATGTCCTCTGCCTTTTTTAATACAATTACTACATCAACATAATGTAATACCAATAATACAATGTTTTTTGCATTTTTAGAATCAAATTTTGCCTCTTAAGGCAAATATTTTGTGGTTGTAAAAACAAGCGATTATAAGAAACCTACCGTTGGAACTCCAACCATGTAAAGCAACCATTTCCCATGCTTTTTTTCGTTTTCTATCTCGTAAGGCCACGAGATGACCACATCCACCTGCCTTACTCTAGATGGCCCATTATTATACAGCTAAAGTATGAAAACAAAGTTTAAACATTAGTACAGTACTAAAATAAATTAAATTAAACAAGAAAAATGCTAGACATAAATTTCAGTGTTTGGAGAAATCACTCCTATACAGAGCATGTCATCAAACCAATTGATATCACTTACAAAATATCTAAAATGTCAGAAGAGATATTTTAAGAAAATAATAATCAAATAGAACCTCCAAAAAACAGGATTTTTTTCCTGATGTTTCATTCAGAAACGTTTTAACACTCCATGGAAAAAAACAACAACAAAGACTTAGAATTAATCTTTTTCTATCTTTCAGTATTTGTTACATTCTTTGAAAAACACCAGAAGAAGAAGAAGAGAAGATTAATCTTAATCTAAAACATTTTTGAAGATAATTGAACATATCACAAAAATATCCAAACATTTTTAAGAGTAAATGATTTAAAAAGACACTTGTATCAAATATCTGTTTACCATTATAAGGAATACAACATTAAAATCATTACACAATAAATTTGTTTCGGTGTCCTATTACACCATCTTCAGGAGTAACGAGGAAGCAGGTCCAGGTCTAGAAATAATAAAGTACTGGACAGATGTTTTGTAACTCTGGGTAGTTTAAGCCTAGATGGCATTATTGGTATGTAAATGATTATGTGGGTATATAAGTTCCAACCATGCCTTTACCGTTACTACTGAGGATGGTGTCATAGGTCACTGAAACATATGTAGAGTCTTTTTTTAGGGGGGGGGGGCAAGTCCCTGTTTTTAATAACTATTTATTGTGTAATGATTTTAACATTGTATTCTTTTTAATTCTAAACAGTATAAATAGCTTCCCATACAATAAATACAGTCAGCGTTGTATATTGCTTATTCAGACTGCTGAATATATAACAACTTGAAATAGTTATAATTACTTTAACTCTTTGTGGAACTTGCAAAAAGTATTATTTAACACAATGAGTATTTCAACACATTTTGGTCAATTCTTTGTACCTATACTATGTATTCTAAGGTACAGTATACCATACATATAAACATTGACTTATTTTATATTTTTTACCACTTTAGACATATGGTATTAAACCCATTTAAATAATTTAACCTACATATATATATAGATTTAATATATATATATTTCTGATAACACATGCTTTCTTAAAGAAATAACAAGAATGTTCTTAGTATTCAGGAACTGTACAAGAACTTTCAAGATTTCACAAAAATACTTAACTCTTGTCACAAAGAACACGGTAAAAGCACGAGGAAACATTTATTTAACCAAAAAGTGTATCACCAAACAATAAAGAAAAATGAAGAATAAAACTTACCGAATAGACATGTCGGAGAGAACTTCCAATATCATCTTCCTTCTTCATTGCTGTCTCTCCTTTAATTTCACCACTATAAAACACCTGTTCGGGCTCCGATATACTTGAAAATATTAGAAAATGAAAATGATACAAGATGCAAAATTTTGGAGTCACTTATTTAATGCTAAACTATTTACTTAATCTATAATTTTTTTATATATTAATGCTTTTCTATTTTTTTGTTTTAAAAATTCCTTCTTTTATTTTGTATACTTTTGAATTGTTGCTTTCATGTAACATTTTGTTGCTATTAATTTTGTAACCAATTCATAAACTGCTTCATTTTATTTTAATATTAGATTTTTGGTGTTGCTATGTTTCTAAACTTCCTTATAGAATGTTATGTTTTTAGTCCTTAGTAAGTTGTTACCATTATTTCAAGAGCAACCTCTAAAATTAAAGATAGAAAACAAC